TTTGGCCATCAGGAGCTGAAAATGGTTCGGCGCTCCGCTCGCCCCCATGGGCACACGCACAAACTCGTACAGCCCCGTGCTTGTGACCATGGCTGTGAGCGGAATAGAGTCTTTGTGAATTGATGCTTGAAAAAAACACTCACTAGATCCAGCACCGAAAAGACGGCACTACCGCCCGACTGGTCTGTACACTCGGAGATGTTCGGCAATACGCTACAGGGTACGGTAGCGTCGTTTACGCGCTTGAGATTTGCCGTGACCCGTACAGAACCATTCTTCTTCATAACGCACACAACCGGGGAGGCCCACTCGCTGTGGAAGCGTCGTAAGATACCTGCCGCCATCATCTTGCAAGTTTCGACCTGAAACTTCGTGTTTATGGCGGGATTTCGCCGGTACGCGCGCTGGCGAATGGGGCCAGTACCTGGTTTGACGTCAATACGAAACGAAATCGTAGTGCAATACCCTAGGTCTGTCGCACTCTCTGAAAACCTATGATTTTCCACCAACAACGCCGAGAGGCTGTCGATATCCTCGGGACGCCACGCTTTGTTGTGTAATCCAAACTTGATTTCTCGGAGGTATGGCGGAAGCTTTGCCCACATGCGGCGGAAATCTGGGGGCGGTTGCTCTGACAACGTCGGGAAAGCGGGTTCTGTGGATGGTTCCGCAGGTGCTGTTTCTGTGACCGCGTACGGCGACGCAGACGCAATTCCGGTCAAAGTGCAGTCGGAAAGCGGGGCCTCGATCAGAGGCGTTAAGCTGGCGCTGATAACGCTGTTCGTCTTGACCGCAACCGTGGACAGCACCGCCAACAGCAGGTGACACCCCCCCGCTTCTACCAGAATTTCCTGCGGGCTCCAATTTTCGCATAGGCGAGCGTAAAACGTTCGTGGGTGGACCGTCACGCCGGTGGACGATCCCACCCGGAGTGGGCCCCACACCCGCACGCCCGAGGCATATTCTTTCGTGTTTTGAGAGTCTATCACCAATCTAAATTCGCTACCGTCATGGTCGGGGCACTCAATCATTGCAGTCATCGCAGCAGGGTTTTTCTTAGGTTCGCGGTGGGTCTGCCTGCCTACCGACGCCCTTGTAGGCAGATCGGTGCTGACCTGCAAAACGGTGCGGTCTCCGCCAATGTCCATATATACCCGCGATAGAAATCGTTCCCAACTATCCGTGCCCAACAACACGTCATGACTCATTACCCCCGCGGGCACAACAAAAGCGTTCACCGCCAACTGAGCACTACCTCTGCCGTTCCGGTCCGTAAATTTGACATTGAGGCGCGTCTGCTGATTTGTGCGGAGAGGCTCGACGTTAAACCCTGTCCATTCTCTCGGGGTTGTGATTATAAACCCTGACTGCGACGCCGCCCCGTGGGCCAACACCTCTTCTGTCACTTTCTTTGACACAGATGTCTGTCCCGACCCGGTGTCTATCAACGCCCGACATATGTGGTTGACACGAGCATGCGGGCCCGCAAAGACATTCACTTGTTGGATCGCTGTAATTCTACCTCGCCCCCTTTAAAGTGGTACTGCTCTTCCAGAAAATTCCGTACGCCGTAATCCGCATTGAACGCGGGAGGGGCTGACCACGGCGAAAGGCGCAGCAGCCCCGAGCTCGTGGTCATGACAGAGGTTGGTTTCGTCTCTCCTTTTCGTTTTGATGTTCTTTTTGTAATGTCGCGAGGTTTTGGTTTCCCTTGGTTCCTTTCTACTAAGTGGATGTGCATGCGATCCATAAGCACACACGGCAGGGGCGCGACGTTTTCCGCCTTAGGCCCCCTGTGCCTTCTGGTTACTGGCTACGGGCGGAGGGTCGATACTTTTCGTCTCTTCGACCCCACTATCTCGCGTGCTCGCTTCAGCACCTAGCGCAGCTACGAAAGGTGGCGCCGCCGGAGGGTACGGTTGCCCTTCCGGTACGGTAGCTAAAAACGGAGGTTGTCGACAGGCTGCCTTTCGGCTAAGCCCTCGCCGTCCAAAATCTACAGTTTTTCGGCTGTGCAGGAACTTTGTGTGCCTTCTCTGTCGTTCTTGCCGATCTTTTATTTTCGCTTGTTTTCGTTTCGTTTCGTGTCGTTCTTTCCTTTTCGTTCGTTTTCGTTTCGTTTCTCGTCGTTCTCGTTTGGGATTCGACCGCCATAGTAGAGGGAGCGGGTTGGGCATCAGCCGTTTTGATCAAGAATTCGTCATCATCTGCCTGTTCCCGCCTATACGTTTCCCCAGTACCAAGGGCCTGTGCCGGAGAGTTACCTAGACTCCCCCTTCGTTCCAGCTCGTTCATTTGGTTCGTTTGGTTCGTTACTCGCTCTCGGGTGGTCGGTGACATATGCAACCGTGGGGCATGACCCCCGTCTCTATCTTTGACACCTCGCATGGGGGGTATGGCCACGGTAGTGGAAAGGGTGGGCGAGTCATCAGCCGTACTGATCAATAAATCGTCATCGTCTGCCATTTCCCGCCTATCCGTACCCCCAGGACCTTAGGCCTCTTCAATTGAGCTAGCTAGGCTCAACCTTCGTTCTCGCTCGTTCGTTTCGTTCGCTCGGTGAGGCAGTGGCCCCTACGACACCGGCTCATGACCACCGGCTCTACCAGTGACACCTTGTGCTTTCTCGTTCTTGGTCGTGTTCGTGCATTTGTTCGCCGCGAGACGGTTTCGGTGTGCTCGCGTCGGCGTATCGGATTGTGCCAGTGTTTTACTACCGGTTGGCACGGTAGGGGGTAAGACTAGTGCGGGGAGCGGGGCTGCTGGTGCATCTCCGCCGTCGCCTAATAAATCCGCCTGTGCCATCGCCGGGGCGCGGGGTTCCCCGGCGCCGGCTACCTACGTGGAAGCGTTTGTGGGCTGCTGCCGTGCGTACCGTAGTCTAAGATAGCGGAGCTTCGCTGCGCATCGGTCCTGAACTTCCTGCTCTGTCCCCACACCAAATTCTTCGCAAAACTGATCGCATTTGTTCAAAAATGGCTTTGGACACTCCCTCAAAAAATGATTTTCTTCCGAGCGGTTGTAACACGTCATGCCGTCTTTCGTTCGGGCCGCTACTGCTTCGGGAGAATCTCGACCGTACTTCCAGAATATCTTGAAGGTATTGCCACGGGGTTGGTCGCCCGATTGCACCCCGTGCACACCGGCCCGACCCACACACTCAAATTCCTCCTCATCGCTACTTATACAACCATACTCGGCGCTGTTGGCCATGACAGGATAATAAGTAGTGCCGTTGACGGCTAAAATGCGAGGCTGCTGGGCGTCGGATGGCCGTAGGTTAGGCCGGATGGTGTGGCTTATGACATGGAATGGAGGTTTCGCTAGGGCGAGGCTTTGGTTCAATCCCGCCGACTTAAAAGAGTCCCACATGGCCTCGACCGATGTTGAAGAGGGTAGTCTCGCAGACACCAAAGCCGAAAATTCTGGGTACTGTACGACGAGTCCGTCCGCTGCCGTGTTGACAATTTGAAAGTCTGAGGGGCACTGGTTGCCGAAGCATGGCAATCCTTCAACCAAATCTTGAGTTGTGAAATTCAGTCCTTCAGGGGAGTTTTCGTGGGAACACAATGCTCTGTCGACATTACTGGGATACTGTTGCCGTGAAAGGTCGTGAATTGTTTTGTGATCTGTGGACTAACTCATTAAACCCTTCCAGCACGGTGAGGGACTTGGCCGCTATCTCTTTGTTCAGTTCTGTGCCGATTTTTAAGATGCTACTGGTGGCGGAGCGGGAAACTTCCGTGTTGTCACGAAGGCCAACGCTACTGACCTTGTACCGAAGCACCGGGCCAGTCCACTCAGGGTGCCAGTCAGGTTGGAGATCGCCGCACGATTGACGAATGGTCTCGACGGCGAACTTAAGACGACCGAAGAGCGTGACGAGAGCAGCCCAGGTGTTGACGGGCGGGAGCGGCAGCGAACCCCGTAGCGGAGGGAGGAACTTGGCCGTAAAGTAGTTCCAGAGGGCGTGGGCCACAGAATCACCTCTCACGTGACCGGGGGGGAGGGGGGGTTCGACAGGGAGAGGGGGGGACACACCGGAGACAGGTTTAGTGCATGTGTGGGGTAAGTGAGCGGGAGGAACATGAGGGAGAAAAGCAGAAGAAACTTGGGGAGGTTGCTCAAACACGCGAGGAACAGAGGACGGGGTTTTGCCCTTTTCTCGGAGCTGGGCTGCGGCCAGCAGACGGCGCAGCTCTTCGACCTCCGACAAGGCCTCCTGCTGATGACGACCCCCTCCCGTTGAACAGGTCGAGCGGACCCGATCAACGCCCCCGCTCCGCTGGTGCCCCTGTGACTCCCCCCCCTGCTATCCCCGCCCGTCGCGGCCCTCGCTACTGCCGGCCCCGTTATCCCCACCCTGCTGCCCCCCGCCGTCGTGACGGCCTGGATGCCCGTCCCCGCTACTGCCCCCCGGGCGGCTCTAGCCACCACTATTTCCCTGATGCCCGCCCTCGCTAGCTCCGTTACGCTCTCCTTCCCCCCCAGCGCGATGCCCCCCCCCGCTACTGCCGTCTCGGGATTTTCCTCCGTTGCTCCCCCCTGGGTGTGCACCCCCGTGATACCCGCCGCGATGCCCCCCCCCCGCTACTACCTCCCGGGGATCCTCCTCCATTGCCGTCGCCCCGGCGCCCGCTCCCGTTCCCGCCGCCCGGAGCCCGCGATGTCCCCCGGCCCTCGTCCGACGACGACGACGGAGAGATACCCGACCGCTCCTCCCGGTGGTGCCGGAGGTGAGCCCTCCGGGCGTCTGTCGGTGCCACTGGCGCCGGGCCTCCCGCTGCGGAGACGAGAGCGGCCGGCGGGGGTGAGCGGTGGCTGCTTCCGCCGTCCGTTGCAGAGGCCAGTCGTGGTAGGGGTAGGCGTCGTCGGGAAGGCTGTGTAGCAGCGCGTAGCGACCCTCCGTTTTCCACAAATCCCGGCGAAGTCGAAGGAAGTCGGCCTCCGCCGCGATGAACTCCTGCGAGCGCCGCGACTCAAAATTCGGCCCGCCCTTTCTAGCCCACTCCTTCTGCATGTGCCGTTCCGCCTCCTCCAACCGCGCGGCGCCCAGCTCCCACCGAAGTGTACTTTGCCGGATGTCGTCCGCCAGCGAAGCAACCGGCAGGTGCAACGTGTCGCGCCAATGGCGGCTCCCGAGACCCTCCCCCGCCGGTGAAGCTCGATACTCCGTCCGACCGCCCGTGGCCACGGGTCCCCCATGAATTGCGCACCGCGAAGGCTCGCCGCCCCGCGGAGCCCGAAAGCGCCGCCGGCCCTGCATGATGATCTTCGTCGAAGCCGCGTTGCCCCCCTTCCGGCAAGACGGGCTCACCGCTATGCCGGCGCACGGCGAAGCCCCTTCCGCTGGCGGCGTCATGGTCAGAGGCGCGGGCGGCCGCAGGGGCGCTCTTCAACTCCTCCGTGGTGCCGAGGACATCCCCACGGGCGTGAGCGAGGTCCTCCTCACGTGTGTGGCCGCCGGCGGCCGCGGGAGGCGCCGGGAACTGGGGGTCGTGAACGCTCGATGGCCCGAAGAGCGACGCCGCCAAGTCCCGGTCGGTCGTAATCTGCGCGTTTTCTTCAGTAGTGCGGAAGGCCGAGCGCTCGTCCGCCGGAGGGCCGGCGTTCATGGAGGCGAACAGGCCGAAGACGTCGTTGAGGTCACCCGTGGCGTCGAGCTCGGTGGCCAGTTGGCGCCGCTGGTCCGTGGAAACCTGCCCAAGCATGCTGGCGCCGGCGACGGCGTGGTGGTCTGAAGCCGACGACCCAGCCGAAGGGACGGCAGAAGGCGCAGCCGCAGGACGACCGGAAGCGCCACGGTGAGAAGTGCCAGAGGAAAGAGAGTGGCGCAAGAGAGGAGATGCGGGCGAGTGAAAATGCAGAGCAGCGGAAGCACGAGCCGGGCGAGAGCGAACACGCTGTCCTACAAAATCCCCCAACGTCGTGCCCCTCCCAACACGAGACGGAGAAAGAGACATAGGTCCAACGATGCACACAGCATTTCAGCGAGGGAGCCAATGTAATACTATCCCCTTGTGTGCTCTCTTTTTGACAAGAGGTCTGGTTAGCACACGGATGAATATCTCTCGGTTTCGTTGGATGTCTCTGTGTGGGTCGAGATTCAAATGCTTCTCTCTGCTGCTTATGCAGCTCGGTTTGTATCAGACAGGATCAGATGCGGTACAACGGACTCTCTTCTTTCTTGCTCACACTCCACGGCACTGCACACGCACTTTCACACGCAACTCTCACGCGCACGCGCGACTCTTCCACTCAGCACTCTCGATATGGCACTCACAGCAGACCGTTGTCTGACGAACCTGCCTGACCCTCGCTTCCAAAGACACTTCTGAGAGCGTGGGGCTACTGCTCTGCATTGCCTACACCCCCGCCTCCCCCCTGCAAACCCCGGGGGGGGTGTACTCATAGTCGTGCATGCCGTAGTCGTTAGACCATTGACCTCGCATCCCTACAAAGCCGGGACGGAGCACGCCGGGTTCTGACCTGACCAGGCTCTCACATCACCAAGCGCGAAGCGCCGTGAGGTATTCGGCGAGTCGCATGAAGGGTGCGCTGCATCCTGCTAAGGGTGTTCGGCATCTTGTGCATACTACGGATGACACCTGCGTATGACTTAATTTATTTCCTGGTGCTCTCACTTCCAGAGACAGTTATAAGCACTGTGTAACTGCCTCGAGGATGCTTTACCATTTTAGCACAACGTGGTGCGATCATCCCCCTTGCGCGGAGTGAGGGCTCTCGACCCCGCACAACATGATCTACTCCACCGCCGTTGTGGTTACCGCAAAACCAAAAACCAGAGGTAAAAAAAAACAAACGGTAACCTGGTTGCCAAGTTCACGAAGCTAATTGGCTTGTTTTACAACGTCATTGCCAAGCGACGAAAACCCAATCCCGATGGCAAACACCGAGTGGGGGGCAACTGCAAACGCCGGGGACGGGGAAAAACGGCTATTCCATCAAAAACCCGGGGACACGCTGCATCTGACCCCGGAAAAAAGTCCACTTCGTATAACAATGCCCCCCGCTCGTGTGACCGCAGGCACGGTATCAGTATTTCTTTTAGTGCGATTCTATTACCCCCCCCCCCCTGTTTCCACACAGCTTGCGCCCCTAATACTGGGCGGTAGGGATATCATATCCTCTGGCTGTCCCACCCCTGGTCTTGGCTCCCGCAACCTACACCTTGTCACCCGGGCTACACAAGTTAGAACCCCCGCCTAGAATTCAACACCCGTTTATAGACTATACCTTTTTTTTTCGCCCAAAAGTTATCCCCAGGGTGTGATATATTGTGTCGTATGCGGTATCTAACAGTGTTTCGACAGGTTATACGCGGTGGCCCCGCATGTTTTCGCTGAGCAGCTGCCTTCTTTTCCCCCGAAGGTTGGAGTGTTGCGTGAGAACACGCCTTGGCGATTCCCCCCTGCTTTGTGGGTTCTCTGAAAAGTTTTCGGTTTCGCAAAATATATGAGGTTGATGGGAAGTGCCTCATCTACGCTGCCTACCTAAAGCGATGGTCGACACGCGCCTCGGCGGAACATGTTTCTGGGTAGAATATCTTCCCGCGATCGGCCATCAACACACGCACCGCTACATCTAGAAAGGGCGGTCATTTTAATATTCTCCACACCTTCGACGAGAGCCCAGGTTCATCGGTTAGCGGCCCTTGTTGCGCGGCCTTTTCTCCATGACACCCCCGCCTTACGGACATGGCCACAAGGCTCCAGGCCAACTGGTCGATCATAAGTCAAGAGAGAGAAGTAGGGGCAGGTCCACAGGACGCAACTAGTTCATTCAAAGACAAACCTGAGCACAAAATCGGAGCTTTGTTCTCGGGTCTTTGGGGGCAATTTGCGAAAGCAAAAGACCAGATTCCTAAAGAACCATCGGACTTCGGCGCTCGGGGGAATAAAAAAGACCAAGACAAGACCAGAATCAGATGTTCGCAAACACCGTAGTCATCCAAACAAAAGACCAAATCAATACCCTCGAAGCAACAAGACATACGAACTATCATTGATCATGAACTCTATCGCTGTGTTGCTCTCGCCAACGACTACAAGCAGACTACGTTGCTTCCGTGCTTCTCTCCCCCTTCTGCCAACAAACTACGAATTCTGCAACACCAATTATGTTTCGGGGCAATTTACCCAGGACGTATTGTACTGTCTGCGTCTCAACATAGATGCAGTATAATCTCGACAAAAATGTAATATCCGAAACGTAAGAGTCTACATCAACCCGTCGGTTTGGTCCCGTAAACCAACGCCAAGCAGAGAAGGGTTATATCCTATTCACACAACAACATGCCCTGACCGCAGCGATTGGACACAAAATAGTTGATCGAGCTTAGACTACTGATGACGGCCCTTTGACTTCATGCCCTCCATGACGGCATCGAAGGTGGTCCGCGCGTCGGGTTCCCCTTCCCAGCAAGTCTTCGCGATTTCCACCATATCGGTGGGAGCAAGGTCATGGAACGAAGGCCGCACTCCCATCAACACCGCGGACAGTATTTCCCTAGGGCGGCTCTTGTTTGCCCAAGGTAGTTCGCCTGACACCACTTCCCACACAACGATGCCGAAGCTGTAGACATCGCTGGCGCGGGTGCTACCGCCAGATTCGAGCACCTGAAGTATCGAGGAGAAACAAAAGGAGCAACAGATAGGGTTATTAGTTGTACTGCCTCGTCAGATAGACAGACACGCGGTGTATGAAAGTGGAGGCCGGGCGGCAGATGAGCATCTTCTTCGCGCTTAGGAGCCCAACTCGACTGGCGATCTCGTTGTAAAATGCTGAGCCTGGGACAACACGTAGCGGCCGCATACACGCACTAAAGAGGCTGGAATTGGAAGCTGTTTGAGGCGCGAGACTCTCGATATGCATGTAGGAACACTGGGAGCAACAAGAACACACTAATCCGAACAACGCGCAGGCCCAATCAAATTCCAAGGGGCGAAAATTCATTCACTGCCGTCAATCTTCAGGAATTTTCGTGCCAGAATCCCGAAAGACAGGGGTCAAAGAGTACCGAGCATCCCTACCGGTAGCCCCGGTGGTCTAGCGGTCCCCTCGTAAACCTACTACTGACCAGGTCACGGGTTCCAATCCCGGCGTGTGCGAGCTTTTTCTCACAAAAAAATAAGTTGTTTCTCTCGCTTGCGTTCCTGGTTGTGGAAAGCGCTTGACGTGTGTACGCCGAGGGAAGAGAGTGCTGCAATCTTCTCGCGTTTCACATCTCAGGCAAAGCACGGTAGGAGTGGGAATGGGGGGCCTCAGGGAGAGAAACCTTCTGTGCGACCACGGTTCAAATGTGCTGGCAAGATGCCCCGGGTGGCAAGGCGGTCTTCGAACTCTGGAAATTGGTGTGATGACAAAACAAAAAAAATCCCCGAAACTTTTAGTGATGGAAAGAGCAGTGCCTGGTACACCCGGAATAGACAAAGGGAGAACGTATACACTTTACTGTACCTCCGGGGCGCTCCAGGCGAGGCTCATCTGGGTGCCCTGACTGGATCTGGTGCTGTATGTAGCCAGGCCGGTTGAGTTTGTGTGCTGCGACCATCTGGAGGTACCAAAATCTCCAATCTGAACAACACCGCGAAATGACGATATCGGGATGGGCGAGTCAAGTTGTACTTTACGAACAAATTGCCAGTCGAATAGGCAAGGGCACTGCATGTTAACACGAACCTACGGTAATTGCTTCACACGGCACTCCGTCAATACGAGCAGACTCCTTCAAAACCAGTTGCTGTACATGTTGATATCCGCAGCCCATCACCCCTACCTTCGCCCGTCCAGACCCATCGAGGAGCACGTTGGCCGACTTGAGATCGCCGTGAACTGTGTCCTTGCTGTGAAGGAAGGCCATTCCCGCGCAGATGTCCCCGATGATGCGCCTGGATTGCTCCTCGGGAAGGGGTTGCTCAGAGTTCCTCAATAGCGTTCGGAGGTCACCGCCCGAGAGCAGTTCCATCACGAGAACCATGCGGTCCGGCAGAGACGTGACCGCTCCGTAGACGTTGACCGTGTGAGGGCTCCTCAGACGAATCATGGCATCGAGCTCGCGCAGGAAGGCCCTCCGTTGACTGTCTTCTCGCTTTGTGGTGTTCGACCGGCCTGCCAGTGGGGACTCAAAGGCATCGTTTTCACTTAACGTCCCTAGGTCGCGGGCGATCAGCAGTACCTGTGTCGGCAAACGTGTTGTGCGTTTGGCAGCAGCATATACAAGCGACAGTATCGCGTGTTGTTGGGAAACAATAACAACAAACGCCAACACTGTTGAAATCATATTCCATGTTGTAGTTTGAATCGCACCTCCAAGGTCACCTCGTCAATTGACACTGCTGCATCTTCCCCCGCCGGAGATATTGTAAATGCCCGGGCACATCGCACCACGCATGTACGAGAGGTCATACGTAACCCCTAAATAAGATAGTGTTATTGGGGGTACGCTGTGTACGTTCCGCAATGTATGAATGCTACCGCAGCTACATAGAACTCCCACGGAAACGGAGAAAACCCACCTTCTCCGAAAAACTACAACAACGTTTCTGGTCTGCCTTCCTATCTTGCTGGACAATATCACCGGTTGTTTGATATGGTATGATGGTACCGACTTATCACTGCAGTTCAACGACAAACTCTCAGCACCTTAGCGGCGGCGTTACGACCGTTGTAGTCGGCGAGGTACACCTCGCCAAAGCCACCCCTCCCAAGTACTTCGTTTGTGATGGTCACATGTTCCTCAGGGATTTCGACTTGGTCCAGCTTGCGCCGACGCCGTGTGCTACGAGCGTCCGTCAGAGACTCCGACTGAACCTCTGTAATGGAACCCTGCAAGAAACATCGACAGCATGAAGCACGAATAGTTTGCGAGGGCAACGCGAAGATTCGCAACCATGTCTGAACAACCTGGATCATAGTTCGACGCAATCGGAGCGTTTCGGTGCCCTTTTAGAGAAGATTGTTCGTAGAACCACAGGATAAACACACGGTGGCTTAGGAGTAGCGTGCGGTACGTCTCACCTTGTAGAGGTCCATTCCCGCCTTGACGTCTTGCCCGACTTTAACCTGGAGACCCAACTGGACGGGCGTAACACAAACAGTGTCACGTTCAGCTAAAACACGCAAGCTCGCGAAAAGGGGGGCGTCGAGGAACGTATCCCTGCGCCTGAGACACATACCATGACCACGAATTATAATAATCTTGCTTCACGAGCTTGCGAATCAATCCCCGACTCTCTCAAATAGTCGAGCGAACTGCCGACTCTTTCTCACTGAAACAAACATTCAAGTCACCACTCACTTGCAGTCGCACGATGGCCCTGTCAACGACCGCATCAAGCTCGTCCTGGCGCCGCTTGAAGAGGGTTGACATTAGCACTTTCGAAAGCTTGTTCTTGCTTTGGTACGTTTTGATGAGCTCCACGAGGTCGAAGATTGCCTCGTGCACGTCGTCGATTAACATACGGGCCACCTTCCCGGTCGTATTTTCGCCCTGAATTTCATGCGTGACGATAAGCAAGAGCAAATTCCACCATTGCATGCATTGCCAGAAGTCAATGCAATGTGATCCTATTTTGCGGCAACCGCAGCCTTTTCCCGAGAGTAATGAATCAGAGACATTCGACCAATGGTGCAATTACAGCAGTACTCTGCAAGAGCGAAGTTGAAAATGCCGACAAGCAAGGCCCACCACTCACGTTGCCAGCGACCTTGTCGGCCCGGTTCAGCACCATGACAATCGAGCGGCACTGTCTGAGTCTCGAGTCACCCCCGCTGCTGTCGTCGCGGCTATCCTTCACGAGGTTAACCAAAATGGAAACCAGTGTTACTGCCTCGCTGACGCCAGGAACTTGACAGCTGTGAGCCAGCTCTTGAGCTGCTACCATCACAGCTTGGCCAACCCCAACATCACCGAACGATCCTCGGCGACCAGCCGTGGAAGAGGCCTCTCGCTCGCCCGAGGCTGGCATAGGTTCGTCGGCAAAACGTCCTGTGTTTTCAGTGCTGATGCCGGCAAGTTCGGCCCGCTCAGATGTTGAGACATCAGCTGTGGAACCGGTAGCAGTCAAGGACCGCTGTGCTAAAACGTCTTCCGTACCCACGCCTGGAAACTTAACACCTGGCCCTACCGGCATTCGTGTGGACTGTTCGGTGTTGGACGATAAAGACCCCGAGGGTGCTGTTTCCGATGGTGCAGCCATGCCTTTGCCGACCGTCACAACCTCTACCGGCTTGTGTGGGTGCGGAGGCTGGTTGTTGTCTGAACAAACAACGGCCGATGTAGCCGGTTCAACGCCTTGCGGACGATTATAATCACGACCATGTTCGAGGCTATCATCGTCGCTGGGAGGTGGGACCAACCGGCCACTCCCCATGTTTTTCGCTGCTTGCCGTCTCTTGTACAAAACACCGAGCGTAATGAGAGCAGCAGCGGCAATCGCGGAAACCACCCCAGCTAAGACTGGCGCAGTGCCCGAGGCTGATTCACCTCCCGGGGAAATGCCTAAAGGACCAACTGTCGAGGAATTCCCAGATGACGGTGCGAGTGTCGAGGAACTGCCGGCTGATGGTGCCAATGTAGGGTTAGGTAGTGTGGTAGGCGTAGTAGAAGGTAGGATAACCTGTGAAGCTGGCGCGGGACTCCGTGCGACAGTTGGTGACGCCGTTGGGGTTGTCGAGGTGGTGAGGCTGGTGGTGTTGAACATGACAAGCAAGAAATCGTCGCTGCCAAGATTGGGATCGCCTATCCACGATCCATTGGTGTTCCCGACCATTAGCATCCTCCCGTTCGAGCCTGCCGCCATCCCCCGGACTTGGAAGACGTCTGGAGAGCTGGCCTGCGGGTTACACAACCAACACACACATGACGGGACGCGCTGAGCATACCACGTTTGTTGCGTCTATGGTGTTGAGTCCGTTGAAGTATTTCTCTTCATGGTAGTGCGAAAGAACTACACTACGGTTAAGAAAATACATCAATGGTCACAATACAAGTTCATTTGGTTTGGAAAACGCATGTGTGCCCGCTCGTCGCTTGCCTTAAGCTTTAAAAAACAAAAACACTTCCACTAAAGGCGTTCGTCGGTCGCAGTCACCTGCTTCCAGCGCCAGACCTCTTCTCCGTCAACCCCTAGCATCACCGCTGCAATTTCGGAAGCCCCGACGCCATTAACCGCGACAGCGTTGTAATCTCCACTACGCCCGGTGAGGAGAACAGTCCCATCTTCTTGCACCGCCACCGCGTGCATTCCATTGTACTGCACCGCGTACCCACCCTGTCCAACCGGCACCACGTGAAAGGAAATGGCGAGCGAGCTTGACGGCACTTTGAGTTCTACGTAACGCACAGGGCAGCAAGCGGAGAGGTATTGCGATACACAACAGGGTAGCACGATTGAAAAATGATTGTACGCCAACAAGAGACAGTCGAGACTCTTGATCTGGCCAACCTGCCCCCAAACAAAGCCTGTAAAGTTCCGCATCTAATATCCTGAAGTAGAACACATGGAAGCAGCCTTACTCGCACTGCCGCCACCGTCCATCTCTTTACCCGCCGGAACAGATGCTGAATAGATGTCTCCGGCAGGTTCTTAGTACCAACACATGCAATAACGCAAGCAACATCACCTGCCACCTCCAAACTTCCGTTCCGTTGGCATCGATCTTCACCGCGGCGAAGTCACAATTCTCGCCTGCCAACTCCCCACTCCACTCCCCATAAGTATATCCAGCCAACACGATAGACCCGTCCCCTGTCGCCGCAGCAGCTTCCACGAAGTCCCCCGAGCTGGTACCATCCTATGTATGTAGTAGTCAATAAGAAACAACAATGTCGACGAAAAGGAAGTGGGCAAAGATTCGAGCACGAAACCATGCTCTTGACCCAGCCAACCGTGATCGGGAATAGCACATGAAGGTTGCACTCCCACATAAGCCGGAAAAGCCCCATAGCGTATCCTGTATGTGATGGTGCATCCTTGAGACAACATCCCTCTCATGATCTCAGAGCTTTCGTGTTGTGCTCCCACGTCCTTGACTTGAAAAAGAAACGCAGAAATCTCCGAACATTTTCCAACGCTTCCCACCTTTCGTTATTTTTTTTATGCCCATCTCTGTTTAGCTGTTTGCTCGGTAATTCGGGAGCTTATGGCTGGGTGCTCGTGATCACCAGCACACAGTTTGCCGTGTGCAGATGTTGGATAGTAGCATAGTCGACCAGGTTTGAGTCTTACCAAGGATTTAATTTCACCTCAGTTCCGTTTTCTGATTTCTCTCTCAGCATTTTGTGGATCGAGAGATGTCACCCCCTGCCATTCTGTACAACAAGTAGCGCCAGGTAGTAAGATCGCGTTGTGGGTTGCGACAGCCCTCCTACAAGCAGAGTTGTGCAAGAAGCAGTACGGGTGTTCAACATCCTTCCAAAGTCACATATGACTCACCAACAACACCCTTCAGTTTGCATAAGAAATGTGCATCACTAGACCAACCTGCCACGTCCACAGCTCATTTCCTTCTGCGTCGAGCTTGATGGCGATGAAGTCGTTGCTTCCGACGGAGATCCCTGAGAAATCCCCGCTTGTTTGCCCTGCCATGACAACTGACCCGTCCCCATCCACCGAGACCACCGCATGCAGGGTATCATAGTCTGCTGTCCCGTCCTGCAGGTACAAACGTAGCACAAACCAAGAATCCGATGTGAATCATCGCCGGAGAGTTTGCAGTGCCCTAGCCGTCCCCTTGGTTTTGATTCGCCGAAATATCGGCTAGTGACCGTCAAAGGCTACGGAGCTATCCTAGTGTGCGATGTGGTCCGTTCACCAACGTTCGAAGGAAAGGATACTCTGTAACCATTCCGTTTGGAACCGTAATCAAGTCGAGCTCCGCATGATGCACCTGGACCCACGCCGACGACCGGCACGAACGGACGCCCGCATGTGTTATACAGTAGATTGCCGTGGTACCCACGGCTGCTTCCCCAATTAACTGAATGTTTTACTTTGTTTTCGTTTTCTTTCTTTGTGTCTCGGTGCGATGGTGTCACGAACGGAGAAAGAAGTGCTGTGTATTGCTGTACCACTCATCTTTCAATACTCACTCTTTCCAGGTGCACCACACCACGACGAACATATTTAGAGAGATGCGGTTGAATTGTTTCCGTTTTCTCTATTTGCGTCTCGGGTACGATGATGTTGTGGCGTCATGAACGGAATACAAGAATGAAGGCACTGCTGCTGTGTAGTCCAATCCTCACTATTACTAAGTGCACCACACGAACAATTGGAGAGAGGCTGTGCTGCCTGTACCGTATGTAGCACAAGATACCACACCGCTTGGACCGATTTTCAAAGCTCGATTACTCCACTGGGAAGAGAATGCTTAAATGAAACGATAAGTGTTCGGAAAGCTCTCGACAAGACGGCTTCAACGCCGCCGTTTTCGGCGCTGCCACTCTTTCTGCTGTGGACAACTCGAGCTTTGAAAATCGGTCCGTGGGGCGTGACATGTTATGTCATGTCACCTGCGGTAGCCCCGTTGCACTGAAGCTGCCGCCATTCCGTCAACTCGACGAGGCGATCGGAAAGATTTGTACCTTGCGCTCATTTTGGTCACACGAGGTCACCGCCAAAAGGAAACGGCCTGGGATTTCGTGAGTGGAGAGAAAATCGATCTCAATTTCTGCCGCAAAAATCACTTGGTTTATGTTTAGCGTTGCACTCAAGCTACCCCCATTCCGTCAACTCGACGAGGCGAGCGGTAAGGCATGTGCTATACGTCCAGTTTTGTCACGCGAGGTCACCCCCAAAAGGAAACGGCCTGGGATTTCGTGAGCGTGGAGAAAATCAGTCTCAGTTGCTGTCACAAGATTTCTGTCACAAACAGTTATAGTGCTATTTTTGTTAGTCGCGGCTGAAACCCAATTTGCCAATTTGCAATTGGGGAACCAGTAAAATAGATACGTGCGTGGTTTTCCTTTCACCCACATAATTGCGCGCAGCTACAAGCGAATACCGTAAGAGTCGGAGAGATGGCACCCCCGAGTTAGCTTTTTATTATAGCGTATTTCTCCGCAACTAGGAGGGTGGGTGCGAACACCAACTGATGCCTCTCCGAAAAGCCCTTGACCAGATGTTTCCAAAACCGCCCTTTTCGGCAGGAATATCCCCCTGGTTGTGGAGAAATACGCTATCGAAAAACGCTAACTCGGGGGTGCCCTCTCTCCCACTCTTGCGGTACGACAACTATGCGTCAGGGAACATTAAGCACAAAGACGTCACTTCACTTAACAATTCAAATCGCCCAAAGCTGCCACACGTGGATACGGATCGCCACACAACACAGGTGCAAAATGCAACTACGTATTCTATGATGACACGACAGTTGCAGACACCCAATCAACACGGCCAACAATCAGCCCACACCAACTCGAACTCACGAACGTCGGCCATGTCGCAACATGGGTCCGTTCACCACAACAACAACCGTATACCGTGAACCGCACAGAGCTTATGCGGCTTGCAATGTCGCCCAGATCGCCGGATACCTCAACACCGTGGAGGCATATGGCCATGAACCCAGAGTTCCTCTGCGCTTGTGTACGGAGTACCACTCTATCTCCAGAAACAATGATGCATCCCAACGTACTCGAAGTGTTCGCAAAAAAAGTTAAGACATCACGTAGAGCAACATGCAAGTGCTTATCGGCATCAAACGCGGATACCGGCTGACCAACCGAACGAGTTAGCCTCGGAGGGACGAAAAAAGACTCTGGCAATGGGGCGTTTGTGCGCGTTAGCCGATGCCGTCATTTGCCAGTCAGTCCGGTGTTTGAACTTGTCCGTGCCCTCCACGTAAAAGCTGATGGCGACAAAATTAAGAGACGGTGCTTGGCTTGGAGTCAGTACACTGAGTCGGGGTCGGGCTTTGATATCGTTTTGAAAGCGTGCATATTAAAGAAGGCTGATTTGCTTCCCATCTCCGGAGCGATATATCTGTCTTGCTTTGTCGAACTCGCTTGAGAAGAACTCCGGACCAGCGCTGGATTAAGTAGGGTGTGCGGTTGAACGACAATAGACTGCCTGGCGCGACCCCCACGCGAAATTCTTGCTCACATTGCCCAAAGAAATTGAGGCCAGCTCGACGACGGAGTGAGTGTGGAATTTGAACGCGAGGTAACCCGGAAGAACCAAGACAGGCCACAGCTGTTGGTCAGTTGTGCACTTTCTGCTTTCCACGCAAGCAAACTTTCACCTCGGCGTTCATCAGTAATTCCATGCCGGTCATGGCGCGAGGTAACACATGACGAGTGATGGTGCGGTAGAGGGGGGTGACCTCACCTTACACTTTCAGGTAGGAAGACAAATTCCACATAAACCTGTTGGTTGCACCGTACCGCCGTACGACCACCGCTTCAGGACTATCGTATAGTACTACACGTTTTCTCCCAGAAGTGTTTTTAAGATTTCACGCCAAACGTGCACCCCCCTACAATACCGTAGCATCACTCATACGTTACCTGCCATTTCCAGAGCAGAGTGCCATCTTTGGCCAATTTGTACGCGATGAAATCAGTTTCCCCCAAACTTGGTGTGGCCCAGTCGCCGCTCCAGATATACCCAGCGCCGACCACAGAGCCGTCGTCTGACACCGTCACGCCGTATGTTCTGCAAGTACCGCCACCAGGGCTGTCCTGGTCGCCACCGAATAAAGGAGACTTGGATTGGGCCGTAACATCAGTGTTGACGGAGAGGTCGCACACAGTGTCCTTCGGAAACCCGACGATGCACAATGCACTACTGGGTTCCACTCTGGTGATGGATGAGCGCGATAGCAATGGTGGGGGTGATTCGACTCAAGCAATCGACTAACCTCCCATCTCCACAGTTCCACTCCTTCAGAATCGAGCTCGAGCGCCGCGAAGCCGTCTTCGCCGTCAATCTCGGTGGACCCGGCAAGAACGACCGATTCATCCAGGCCCATGACTGCTGTATCAGCCCAATCCAGTGAGGTTCCGTTCTGTGGAAGACGAAGATTCCCGGCACAACATTGGTAAGTTAGTTCCACCGGCCGTTTCGAAGTCTGCCCGCATCGAAATGTGCAGCACAACGGGATAGAACCCGCAGCGATGAAACCGAAAGACAGCGGTGAGTCTCGCGTACTGATGATGGTGCCGCCACAACGTTAATATTGCTTTTTATGTTGCCTTAATGCGTAATTTTCTCATGTTTCCATTCTACACACACGTCCGACGGGTGGGCGGCTGAGTCTACATATTCTTGGGCTCTAGTCTCCCAAAAAGATGGGAAGGTGGGACAGCTTGTGCTCGCTTTGAGTTTCCTGAAGTGTCGAAGAGAGAGACAGCAGGCCTCAATGGCACCATGGGGATCCTTTCCTTTGCGATTGGCAACGACGGCAGGAAGCAAGACGAAGCCGAACGTATTTTCGAGGGAATTCGACAAGATATTCCGCGGAGTACAATTACAAGCTATCGCCGACCAAGTCTGGGGTCCCCGTTATATCTCTCGACAACCCAAGAAATCGCATGAGACATACGAAGTATAATCTACCTCCCCACGCATACTGGGACAGGACCAGTCAAACGTACGAATGCCGGCGGCAGCCGGAGGTGCTGATTTCTCCATGCCCGCGCTGCGAGATATGGCCGATTCACCTGCCACTCCCATACCACGGTCCCTTCTGCATCCAGTTTCAGTGCCACCCACGCAGGATTGTCGGTGTTTGTTGCTTTCCAGTCTCCGTGGGTATATCCTGCATTGACGGTCGCCAGATTTAGTCGGAGAAACAATGGAGGGTGCCGTGTAGCGACTATTTTGTGTTCTTTGTTATCATTCGGGGTTGCCTTGCAAACCGACGGAAGGCACGACGCAATGTATCCCAAGAGACGGAAGACGCAGGAGCCCCATCCTTACCGGTTGCGATAGAGGACCCATCCGAGCCAATCACTGCCGCAGTGAATGAGTCGAGTTCGGGAGTTCCACCCTGCTTAGCCCATGACCACCCGTCGCAAGGACCGGACAGAGCAAGTGTGAGCAGGCAGGTGGTGGAAAAAGGCCGGATGTGAGTTTTCCGGGGGGCGATATACAGACAAAACGCCATCTACTTCAACTTAGCAAATTATCTTGCTTGACAGGAGCTCCACTGCGACTGAAGCAGCTGGCCTGTACCGAAACGTGCCACAGACTCTCAAACAAGGGAAAACATGTTGACTCCGATCCCGATTGATCCAATTCTGGAACGGGAACGGGCAGAATGACGACGGATAACAATATCGGTCGAATTCAGAAACATATATGTATCGTCCACGGATTTCAATCGTGCAGAGCGCACAACGTGTCTAGTGAGTATGTGCACAGCATTTAGAGGAGGGCGTTACGATGCAAGTTACGGCAGTTTGGGGAGGCGGGCGGGGGTCCAAATCGAAAGAGGGATGCATCGGGTATACACAAGCTGTAGCAAGTACATCTACAAAACTCTTCATTCTTCGCCGAGTGAAAGCCAAAATCCCCACCAATCAGATGGAAGTGGGGTTGTGTGAAGACCATCAGCTAGGGTTTTAGCATTCTTACAGCAGTATCTGACCCCTGGATTGCAGAAAACGAATCTTGTCCTTTTAACATTTTTGGGATAATGGCCTCCTCCGTCGATAAAGATACCGGTCTGCTGCAGCGAAAGCCATTGAAATTCATGGAAGGACAATGTTGAAAATCTGTGAAAATAGCGCTCAGCAGTGAGATGGTTCTCTCATGATCACCCCAGGTTTGACTTCTTTTTTGGCAGAGAAAGATCAAGTTTTGCAATTTGTCGCTTTTTCGCCCCAAAACTCCAGCATTCCCTGACAACGTCGCCCTACTAATACATGTACATGTTTGCTAAAATCTTGGCCAAGACTGAGATTTCCTGCGATACGACTTCACCTTCTGTTTGAACCTTCCGCGCGAATTTCCCAATCTCCCACACTGCCGGGGGGTTTCATAAAACGCCCATGGGCACGCCCATGGACACGCCCATGGACTACCCATGAACTGCGGACGAAGTGCCCACTATGGACGGCCCATGGGGCACCGCTGTGATTGAGCCATGCACCGAGAGGTGGCAGACCCGCCTGTATCTACCTGCACAGGCACCATTTACCACCCAAGGGCAACCTAGGCCAATTCCAAGCACCGCCACCCCAGTACCTATCTATGCATACCCACGTCAGGAACCAACCTAGCACCTATCCTGCAATGCCAACCAAGATTCAACCTATGTACGTACGTAGCACCTATCCAAGCTATTAGTTCCACCAACACCAATCTAGCGCCATTGCCGGCACATCAACCTAGAACATTGCCACTGGCACATTAACCCTAAGCCCTCGGAAGTGTGGGAGACCCGAAATTCCTGACTTCGCTTGGTTTGGCGTGGTTTGGAAATCAAACCTACACTTATTTTACACCGCTTTTTATGGGCAACGAAGGGATTAACCACTGACGTCGAGCTCCGCTCCGAACTCTCGACCTCGCCCGTCTGCACACATCAGCCACGCTTCGCATACCCTCACGGCATTCAACATGAGCAACTATGACCCCGCCGGTGGTCGATCTTACCACGTAATAACGGGGACTTGCTCTGCCTGGAACACGACGCGCCTAAAAAAAATGCTAACTTCGGAAAAGATTATGGCAAGTTGCGGCACATTCCAAATTGCCTTCAACGTGTGCAAACATGCAAACGCTTGTATTTCCGCACAAAACATCGCGCACGTTGTTATTCTACATTGGAGCCAGCTCGAGCGGACAATATTTTGGCAGCGCAAGACTTCCATGATGTCTTTGATTGATGATGGCAGATTTCCGATGAGAACCGAATTTGAAGCCGAACAACACCACAAATGGGACAGTGTCACCACTGCGGCTGGATGCATGTTCTCAGACTTGTCTACACTTGGCCCGCTGCGAAATGTAGTAAACGTAGGTACTGCTGTTGGACAATGCGATGGCACGAAGAGTCACAGCCATGAATAATCGAATGAATGAATGAATGAATGAATGAACGAAATGAAAGTGGAGAAGCAAGAGGCACATATTTCAAACCGTCGTGTTTGATGGGTTTGATAGGTTTCAGAATTGATTCGCCAGGGTTTGTCAGCGCGGAACGCGTCCCCGGGGTTTTGAGCCAGTTTTCGCAACTTTGGCCGTCTACTACACGCGCCACGGAGGCCGTACCGAGCTCCGGGCACGGGCGTTAGTGTACCGACGAGCCTCCTGCGTGCCCCTGAGAAGGAACCGCGAGAAAAGACTCGCTGCCGCCAGAGAAAGAAACGCCGACGCATGAAAAGGGACCAAATCGATGTACATATGTGAGAATTGAAAGATGATGATGTCCGGATGAAGGGATGACCTTGAGTATCACCAGGTGGAACTGATGTCTTCTGCAGATGTCCGCCAGCTAGCGTCGTTGTGGTGTACACACTAACAGATACCCACGCGCACGTATGGGTCTTGTGCCAATGGCAAGTTAAATGGTGAAACATAGGAGCGCAGGTTGTTCGTTCCACTGCTGTTCGACTCTACTGCTGTTCAATTTCCACCGGTCGGTGTACCATGCCGTTGGTGACAATAGGCCTTAGGTCGGAACTGCTGGCTGTTGGTGATTTTCGCTGACAAGGCATTCTACTGGCTTGCACGGCGCTGGGGAGCTGTGGTCGCGGTACGTGTTCGGCTGTATTGTTGTATGGTAGATAACCCAGCCTGTGGCCTGTGGCCTTGAGACGAAAGACGGAAGAGACAGAGATGGCCTTGAGACGGAAGATGGACGAGACGAAGGATTCAATGGATTCGCCATGTGGACACACATCTACGTACATATCAGGTCCCACCTGCCAATACCAGAGCTCCGTCAATTCCGTCGCCATTTCTCCAACTCCTTACTGGTGATGGATGGTTTGGGGCTTGTTGGGGTGTTGGGGTGCGCTGCTGGGCTAGCTATGTACGATATGGTTTTTAGACGACTTACGTACGTACGTAGAAGCAACATGGGTGGGCAAGTTGCGGTACAATTAGATAGAAATCTCCGATGGCGAGCCCAACTCGAGTTTCCAAAAGACTTAGTCCAGAAGTGCCGCTGTGAGCTTGGATTACGGACGGAGAATGAATGCATGATTGCGTCAAGGTGGGGGTGTTCAGCGCTCAGGAGAGGTCAGGAATTCCTCGCCCTTCAGCACCCACCAATAGGCTAGGCTCCGTTTGGTCTCACACTCGCTGTGCGGTCGAGCGGTCGAACACCATCGCACGGAAGGCTTGAAACTCCGCGAGAAGGGAAGAGTTGCGAAGAGCCTTGACGAGAACACACGGCCCAAAGAACACTTGTTGTGTACTAGAGGAAACATGAATACAAACACAGAAAGACTACCAGTTCGAGATAATACCACAGCAGTCGAACGGGATGTGTCGAAGTCTTTACAGTGATTGGAGGAAAACCAAGCGGGTATCTTTTAATCGGTGAAATTAGACCATCCGGCTAGTCAGCATCCGGCTAGATCAGCGCTGGCCGGATGGTCTAATTTTACCGATTATTGTACCGAATCGGGTCCTCCTTAACACTCTCCACCCACAGAATTTACCCTCAACTGGGAACCTCTTGTGGCCAGGACGGGTAATTCGATGGAAGTGTCACAAGGTTCTTTATAGGATCGATTCCAAGAGGTGTTCTCAGGACTGACATACATGGTGTCCATGGGAAAATGTCCAAGTCAGGAGAAAAAATGTGCACCCATGGAGATTCGAATCAGTATCCTGCCGCTGACGCCATGTACGAAGGTGTACCGATTCTGGTAAAAGTCAATCAACGGATACCCTGCGAATCGGGTCCTCCTTAACACGTTGTTGTTGTGGTACGCCACAACTTTAGACTTAACTTGCTCTGTTTTGAGCTTGAACATGCACGCAAATCTCACGGCATCATCAATTGCTGCACGT